ACACTAAATTTCTCACAGTTCGATGGATCTCAGACCTAGTAGCACTTTATATTTAAACTTACATGTTTTCTTTCACTTGAACCATCCCCTCCTCCTTTTGCTTGGTAAGCTCTCTATATTTGAGATGCAGTTCAAGTGGCATCTCTTTGATAAAGTTTTTTTTTTGTTTTAAACTCCCAGTCAGAATTAGTTGCCCCATCTTTTTTATTCTAGCAAAACTTTATTATTTGTATCTTTATAATATGATTTATGTGAGTGTCTAATCTCCCAGGAATTTCACACTTTCAACATCAACCAGAATGTGAGCTTTTTATGTGTTTCCAGCCTCTAGCAGAGTGCATAGCATATAGCAAGCACTCAAATATTTGTTCAATGAATGAAAACAGAGCTTCATTAGTCTGTACCTATGAAACAGAAGTAAGACAGGACAGTGGCCAGCTTGCTCTGCTATTTAGATCTCTTGTTCTTTGGGCTTTTTTGTAGTCCACATTCCTAGATGTTCTCTGTACATGGCAATTCCTTGCTCTTTGAAGATCCATGTGCCATACCTATAGTTGTAAATGAGATTTCCATTTTTCCTCTATACTTATTTATGAAGTTCTTAGTCCTAAAAATAGATGCTGCTTTAAAGAAGAAAGTGCAACAATTGAATCTATAGTGGTGAGATAATTAGTCTAAAGGATAGGTATATCTCATATATAAAAATAATTACCAGTAATATTGAAAAAGATATTTGATCATTTAATTCTTTTACAGTTCTGTACATGATGAAGTAATAATTAAGATGATGATCTTAGGCAGAAGATTAAGTGATATGGGAGCCAGGTTTTCTTTGGAACTATAATAATTCCCCCCCCTAACTCTATGACTGTGTTTTGATCTCTCAGACAATCAAATGTGATAACATGAAAAAAGGGAAGGAATCATATCAAAAAAAAATTAAGCACAACTTTTTAGTAAGAGGGTATTAAATATTGAAGTAATCCAGTTTTAAATTTCTAGAGTATCACTATTTTTATTCAGTGATATTTTAGAGAAAGAAAGAGGGAGAGGGAGAAGGAGAGGGAGGGTGGGGAGAGAGAGAGAGACAGAGAAATAGACATGGATTCCTTCTTCCACCTGTTTCATTCATTGGTTGCTTCTTATATATGCCCTGACCAGAGATTCAACCCAAAACAGTGGAATATCAGGATGATGCTCTAACCAATTGAGCTACCATCCCAGGGCCTTAGTGTACCATTATTTTTAATAGTCAGTTTTAAAAGTATAGATTAATGATTTCACACACATGTGTAATCTAATGTACAAACTGAACTAACAAGAAAAATAGAGACAACTCATAGATGGAGAGCAGATGACAGCTAGTGGGGGATGGAGGGATTGAGCAAAGAGGAAAGTGGACTCATAGACATGGACAACAGTATGGTGATTGCTTAGGGAAAGGAGTACAAGGGGACTAAATGGTAATGGAAAAAATACAAATAAAGATTTTTTTTAAAGTATAGATTAAATTAGAAAATCAATATATTTGACTTACCAAATAATGCCAAATAATTTTAGTATAAAAATTGAAGCTTGTATTTTGTTGAAATACAGGAATTCATCTTATGAATTTTATTTATGTTTTATTGATTGATTTAGAGAGAGAGACACATCTCTCTCTCTCGAGATATCATCTCTCTATCTTGAGTTGTTTTCCACTTACTCATGCATTCACTGATTGATTCTTATGTGCCCTGACCCAGGATTCAACCCAGAACCTTGGTGGTATCAGGATGATGCTCTAACCAACTGAGCTACCTTGCCAGGGCAATCTTACGAATTTTAGATTTCAATTTATGTGACTTTTTAATTTACCAGTTGTTTTGTTAATTAATTTATTTCTATTTAACTGCATTGTTGAGAATGTTGCAAAAATATTTTCCAAACTATATAAATAGCCCTTGATGACCATAGAAATATAGTTTTAAAATATTTTAAAGACAGCAAAATCAAGTTATTTTTTATCATTTATTTTTATACCAACATTTTGAGGATGCGCTTATTTTAAGTTACTTCATCATTTATTTAAAGGAAAAGACAACTTTGTTTGTATGTGGCTTCAACATGAAATTATATATATATAAAGTATTTAAAAAATTTTTTGAACTGTGGTCTAAAAATTACCCAGGATCATGGTAGGGATTTTTTTTTCAGTTTCACTACTACAATATTATTTTTTCCTATTTTGTATTGTTGTATAATTATAATTGTCCTGAAATTTTTTAATATAACTTTTTATAATTTAATTACTTTCATTATATGTGTACCTTTTTTTTCTTTTGGTTAGGCATATATTTAAATGTTAAATTAATAAGTGAATTTTGTTATGTCAAATATTTTCCCCACAGAGTTTGTCTTCAAAAACCAGGCATTGTAAATTAAATATACTCATGAAACCTATTGTTTGGAAAACCAATGTGCCATTTTTAAATCCAATATTATTTCAGAATATTACTCAAACCCAAAATTGATTCATGCTTTGCAGTATATTTTTTAAAGGCTTTAAGTAAAAGATACGTCCTTGGTGTAAAGCAGTCAAATGGAGGATAAGTGGTGGCAGAAAGACACTAGACCTTGGGTGGTGGGTCCACCATGTAGTATGAAGATAATATGTTACAAAGCTGTACATTTGAAACCTGTATGGTTTTATAAACCAGTGTCACCCCAATAAATTCAATTAAATAAAATATATCCTTAGTTATTTAAGTATGCCATTTAACTTTATTTCAAGAAAAATGTTTTAAAGGAATTCTTTGTGACAATTGAGACAACTTGAATCTAGCCCATGTTTTATCCTTTCAAAACTGAATATTTTCAGTAGTTATGCTAGTGATTAGGGAAACTGTCAGCAATGGATTGTTGAAATATTATAATACTTTATATTTAGAAATATCAGTGAATGGCCTTTTTTTCCAATTGTTTTAAAATACTGTTTATTTGAGTAATGACCACTATTATATAAAAACACTTTTTTTGCATGTTGCTACAAACTTTTTTGCATGTTACTTTGAACAACATATCTAAATGCTAGCATTCATACTTATATTTTAATCTGCATTTTTCTTCTGGAACATTATTAGTAAATTTTGAAATTATAGAACTGTTGACCCAGACATACATGTACAGAGCTTGGCCTCGGAGTTAATTAAATATGAGTTAATAATATATTAAAGGAAATTATTGTCCTTATTACAGTTATTAGGTAGTTACTCAAATTATAGCTTCAAAGGAATGCAGAGCATGGAAAACTCAGGATTAAATTATGCATTTGAACCTTAGGCCAGCTTTTACTGTACAGACAGTTTTCTGCTAAGAGAGAAATTGTATGTCATTGAAATTAAATGCTTTTCTGGGATGGAAGGTTCCAGTTTTTAATGAAATTACTGAGTGTGGTGTAGTGAAATGATTAAAATCTGTATTCCGGGAATGTGGCAGGGAAAAAAAATCAATAAGTGCTAGCACAGCTTTGCTGCTCAATGTGAATCCTGAGAATGAAATAAACTACTACAAAAATAATAATTAAAAACATATCAGCACATTAATTTATTTAGCATCAGTCTCCTGAGACATCATCTTCACTAATTTTTAGCATATATTTTACTATGTAATGAGCAGCCTTCTTTTCAGATATCCCTATTAGACAGGCAGTATTTCTGCCCTTCCCCCAGTGCTCCTGCATTGCAATCATTGTACTTGCACTTATTATGTTACAAATGACCGAGGTAAGGCTGACATTCTCAGTGCATGCAAAAAGACCTAGTCTGCCAAGCTTTCTTTTTTTTTCCCCTAATGAAGCAGCTTTGTGAAATCTCCCCATGTGTTAATACTAATGAAGATCCTCCAGCACAATTAAACTCACAGCCAGTGGCTGAAGAGGAAACAGAAAACAATAGTGTCTTTTAAGTTATATTTATCCACATATATATGCGCAAATATATATGGTCAAATTATTCTTTTGAAGCTTGCCTTTCCCTTGCTCTTCATCCCAAAAATTAAGTTATGCAATTTCTAATTATATGAGCTTTGAGACTTTAATGTATTGGGGGGAACTACCTCAATGAAAAATTTTTAAAATTATGTATATTCTTGGAATAAAGTGTTACCTAGGTGAAGACTTCTTTTTAAAATCATTTTTTAGGAATTTATGCGGCGTGCAGGAACAGGGAATGTAGTGTACTTTTACCTTTAGTTTAACTTTACTGTTTTCAGGCTGTTGGAATTGGGAAAAATAGTAGGGTTAAAAACAAAGTTGGAAGAGATTCTGGGGGTAGACAAATAGCATATCTCGTGTGTAATTTAAAGATGGAGCAATGAGCTACCAGTCTTAACTTGATATTTTTACAAGTGTTCAATTCCTAGTTAGCTATCCCCTTTCCTCCCTTTAACTTCTCAGAAATTGGAGCGGGGAGGGGGAACGACTATTGAGATTACCTTTTAAAGTTTTAATTTGTAATTTTCAAATGGCTATTTTAACGTGTTTTAAATTTTAACTCCGTGCAAAAACATTTCAGCTAGTTTAACTCGTCCGTGTTAGGGCAGTAGCATTTAATCCTTGGACCATCTTGCGTCCTGCCTTTTATTTTATTTGATTTCCAAACATCCACGAATTCTTGGCTTATTAATTTAGTTGGTCTGTGGACTTCAACCGAATTGTGTTTGCGGACAAAAAAAGTTTAGGTGAAAGCGGTTAGTCTAATGCTCCCTTTCTCCAGTTATGTGTTTGAAAAATTCCATTTTCAATCTTATTTTCTGTCTTATCTACTTTTAAAAGCAAAACAAAACATTTAAGTTTAACTTTTTCCTGGGACCAGGAACGGTGCAAACTCAAAGCTACAGTATTCTTGGGAGGAAGAAGCAACCCCCTCCCCTCCCTTGGCTCCTTTAGGAGCTGATAGGTCATTTATTATTGGAACTGAAATGGTATAAACAATTCTCTCTCTTTTTTCCCTTGTTAACAGCAACTTTCATTGTTAGAGAGAGGAGAGAGAGAGAAGCCTTGTTGGTTGACGTCACTTGGTTCATGAAGCCTTCGCCTAGAAGTGAAGCTGCTGAACAAACCTTGAGAAGAATCATCTCCTGCTTCAATCGGCTGCTGGATAGGAACTAATCAGAGAGAGAGAGAGGCGGAAGACGGAGACGGAGAAGGAGGGAGTCCAGGGCTTTCCCGATCACAAATCTCACCTCCCCTCCAACTCTGTACTTTTCTTGCAAAAATAGTAATAGGAATAAGGAGGTGTTGGGCTTTCCAAAAACAAAAATCGTAACCTTCATCTGGGGAAGGCAAAAATCCCATCCACTGCAACTCTCAGTTCGAAAGTAAAGGTGAGTTAAAAATCCTCGGGTGTGAGGGGTGCGGGCGAAAATGAAAATTCCAAATGTTAAAAAGCTGGTTGAATCAGAAAAGGAGAAACTACGCTCCTGCGAGCTGGGAAGACTCGGAGTTGCTATCTCGAGGCGCTCGCCCTGCCCGACCTGCTCGCCCTGCCGCGGCTGTTTACTCTCGCCGGTCGGTGTGTCTCTTTGTTGTGCTGGCTGCAAGGCTGGGGTGGTGCTCGGGGTCCCGAGTGGAGTTTGGGGGAGGGGGGCGCAGGATGCGGAGATGCGCCGTCCTGGGTGGGAGGTGGGGGGGGTGAGGTCTCAGGCGAATGTAAACTTTATTCCTAGCTGTCGGTGCGGGACTTCGGTCCAGCAGGGCCTCGGGCCGTGCCTCCCCAGCGCCGGCAGACGCTGCCACCAGGAGTCTGCCTCCTTTGTGCCGGCCTCCCTGCCCCGCCGCCTGGCTTCGCGTCTCTTTCTTCCTTCGGCTTCCAGCACTCAGGTCGCCGCCAACAGTTTTGCTTCGTAGAAAAAAAAAAAAATCTCTGGCACAGCTGAGATCGCTGTTCCTACCCTGGTGTATCCACTGCTCCCCCTTCTCGCCTGGGTAGTTTCAAGATTACCCCCCCACCACCCCCTCCGCCTGCTGCTGCCCTTTTTTGCCTCCGCCCCCTCTTTCCTCCAGGACTGATTAGCTGCTCCTGCCTTCCCGCAATTCGGGCCTCTTTTGCTCTTGCCCTGCACAGCTTGGACCTCTAGAGTTTACATTAAATGGGGTGGGAGGGGAGACTGGGAAAAATACCTGGGACGATCTATATGTCACTACACACAGGGTTAGAGAAGCAAAGCTGTTACTACAGTAATGTCTGTCTCAGAGCAGTCCTACCCCGGGAGCAACCGCCAGCTCTCAACTCTTCCTCGCTCTTTTAATTCTGTCTCCCCCCTCCCCCCCTTTTCCCTTTCCAGGCTCCCTTCCCCTTAAAGTAGTTCCACGAACACGAGAATTGGGACTTGGGAAAGGAAGGAAATGTTTGGAGAGTCAGAGTTGTCCCTGCAGTTTAGGAGATTTTCTCTTTTCTTGCTCTGTGTATTTATCTTTTGTGTGTTGCTTCCTTATAAAGGGAGAAGCAGCTGCAGTCGTTGGCCGAGTTGTTGAAATTTATCCCTTTGTGTATATTACAATATCCTCCATTTTTTTCCCCCTCTGCCCTCTAAACAACAAGCGTTTCGCCATCTTGGGCAATTTTTATTCCCAAGTCTCTCTCCTTTTTATTTTTGAGAAAGGGAAAGAAGTCTTACAAAGGCAGAAAGTGTGTCTGCATAAGACTTGAAGTTTAGGGAATGTTCAGGGGGCTCAGTGACGTCATGTAAACTTTATCGAGAAATTGTCCCTAGAGTAAATTTGTCTCTTTTTTTCCTGTGTTTTAAAGGACCATATAACTTACTGGTTAACGATAACTTGCGCTATTTTTGTGTCCTGCTCTCAAAATGAACCCGCAACATCTACACATTTTATGCTTTGGTAACAGGTGGAAAATTATGTGCAAAAAAATGGTATAAACTTTTATAGTGTCATTTGGTATACATTTACCTTTTGTCTGCATGCTTTTTATTCTTTGAGGGTTTCAAATGTTATTTTTAATCAGTGTATTCCCTTTTTTATTTACTTAACTCTGCTGTGGATTTTTCTGTAGTCAGCTTTATTAATATTTAGCTATGCTTATTTTAGATTACCTAGATTCCCTTTTGTAATTAAATGTTCCATTTTATACATAGTTGTTTATATTTCGAAAATATATAAAAACTATTGAAAATACTTGGAAAAACTGGATACTTTAAAATTTTAGTAGCAGATAGAAAGTCAAGTGATTGGCGAAAATGTGGTTAGTATTTAAAAAGGCAGAATTGATTTTAAAGTCTATTTTATAACCTCAAGCTGTAAGTTCTGTCAGCCATTATGAAAAGATAAACAGTAAAAACTAGTGTTTAAATTTTCTTGTCTAAAACAGTTTTTCACCTCACTACAGTTTAGTTGGTCACATGACCAAACTTAATGATACACTGACTGGTATATAAATAAGAGGCCCTGTAAATTGAATGGGAAAGTGGGAATCTCTCCTGTATCATTTGCAGTCAGCATATTTACTTCTCTTCTAACAAGGGCATGAAACTGTCTGTATTTAATTTGCATTCTCTTTGTCTTCTGGGTTGGGGGAAAAACATTGACTACAATTAACTCAAAAAATAAAGCATTAATAGAAACAATTCTGAATATATTGAAAAAGGTTTGTCTAAGGCATAAAAACTTGTATGTGGTATGTTTTTGTCTCTAGCGGTCTTCTTTGGTGTTATCTGCTATGGTTTTTATCTAGGAATTTGCTTTATGTAAAATGCTATATAGAAAGCTTGACTGAATTGAATGTCTGCCATTTATGTGAATTGTAGATAGGTAAAAAATGTTTAAATAGTTAAAAGCACATAGAACAGATGGTTCTAAATTATACATGCAACAAAGGACTAGAAGATTTGGCAGATTATAAATGGCAAGCAGGAGAGGATAAGCAGTTTAAGAAAATGGTAGTTAAGTACATTTGATGTCTCACACCTATTGTAAACATTATACACATTGTTACTGTGCTGCATAATCAATAATTTGGAGAACATTGAGGTACTTACAAGCTTCAATAGGAAAAAGTAAGATTTTACAAATTTTTGAAATGAATGGTTGAATATAAAATTATTTTAAGCCTATGAAGACAAGTAAGTTTGTGTTTATGAAATTACATTATATGTATTAAAAATAAGAAGTTATGAGAACTTAATACATTTGGAGAGAAGTAGGTGCATATTTTAAAATCCAGAGAATAGTATCTTTACTATTTTCATATGTTAAACTAGTATTGAAGTATATAACACATTTACTGTTTCAAACACTACTGAAAAATATTTTTAGACAGCTCAGTCTTGGAAATGCATTTATTAGAATTTGCTGTTGACATAATTTACTAAATACTTATTAAATGAAGGATATATTTTAGTAATTTAGAGTTTTGTGCGTAACAATAATGATTTTACTTGGTGAATGTAGTTTACTCTCAATTTTTAAATATGTAAAGATTTTTATGTAGTTTTTGCCTTTGTAGAAGAATGTGAATATTTATATTTAGCATTTTCAAGAGATATAGAGTAATTTAAAGTATTCAACTTGGCAGAAATTTGTTTTTATTTTTATAAGCTATTTATTTAAAATGCATATAAGACTGTAATGGGAACCCTGGAATTTTAATTCTGTTGCCCTTTCTCCTATTTCTTTGTTTGCATGTTTATTATAGAACTACAGTGTAAAGGAGCAGATGTTTTGCCAAACATCCTGATGTGTTGCTTTTTCTTATGGGAGTGCATAACTGTTCCTTCTGATGCATCAACTTGACAGCTGGTTGATTTCATGGAGCTGCTAAGAAGCCATTAGTGGTGTCATTGAATTGAAACAGAACAGTCACTCCCAGCTTGAACTGCAATTGTTAATGTCTTTGTTGCTACTTTTGTGTTACTATACAAGATGTAGGATATCACAGTTGCATGAAAGTTCATGTTTTCTGTCTTATCTCCTTGAATTAGTGAAAGTATGTATTAGAACTTGATTACCTTTAGGTTTAAAGATTTCTCAAAAAGACTTTAAGTTATAGTTTCTGAGGCCTTTTGACCTAGTCCTAGCTAAAACTAGCAAAATAAGATATGATTTATCACAAACTGAAGTAGTGTGGTGATTTTGACTCAGATGAAATTATACCATCAAGAAAGTTTAACATGGTATCCTGAAGTATTAATTAAAATAGTTAGATCTATTTTAAGAGTTTTTTAATTATAAAGTTAAATATTTTATACCATAAGGTCTTTAAAATATTGTGTTTTATTTAATGTTTACTAATTTGATTAAATATTTCTTTAAACTTTTGTTGCAGAAGGTAATCAGAAAAGAATTATTGAGGAAATGGGCAGCTTTGTGTTTAATTTTCTTCATAAGGTGGTGAAGATATTAAAGAATCATTTAATTTTAAAATTGAAATCATTTTTATTGCATTAACAACTTCTCTTGATAGTTTGACCTATCAAACTGTGGTAATAATACGGCATCAGATCATTCCATTGGTGCCTAAGCATGTTCTACTTTTTCTAATTATTTGCTGCCCTTATTTTTTTTTTTCTTGGTGGGAGAAGAGACAGGAAGGAGGAAAGAGGAAGAACCATGATACTCCCAACAGGGGAAAAAAAACACATTTAAAAAAAAATTGTGTATAAAAGCCTTAGGATCATAAGTTTAAGGATATAATGTAGCTTATCACTCTTTTAAGAGGTTTTTCTAGTCCAAATATTTATTGATTTTTAATTTTTAAATCATAAATATGTTATGCATTTAAATAGTTTTCTAAAGATGATAAAATTTTTATAATTTCAAAAAAGATTTGCATTTATAATACTTAAAATGTGAAATTGAAGATTAGAGTATCTAATTTGCTGAGTTAAATCCCATTAAAAGGACTTAATGTACAATATAAACAAATTTTAAACACTTATCATACATTGTTGAGTGATGCCAGGACTAATTTCCTGAAATCATAAGTCTGTACATCATATATTACTGAAACTAAATATCTCAATATAAAACTGAGATTTACATTGAAGTAATATGCTTTCTCCACCCTTTTATATAATAGCCATAAAGTTCCTTAAAACGAAAACCGTTACCTTAGCCTATGATAAAATTGTTAAGAAATGTATTACTCATATTTGTATCAAGGCAGATAATCATATGAACTAAATTGTGGTAAATTGAGCTATACATTAAATGTAAGCTTTTTTAAAAAAAGAATCTCAATGCTTAGCTTACTTTTAGAGATAATATTGTTTTAATTGTAGTGCAAATAAGTATCCCATAATTTAAGTAGAAATTTTTTCTTACTGGGTTTCTTAAAGAAGGGGAAGTACTGATCACAAGAGTCATAAAA